TCATTTGGGTACTTCTTTTCTAGTACTGTCCTGAGCTTTTCATCTAAAGATGATATTTTCACTCTATCTACACTACCAACATGCAATTTTGGCATGAACAACTGCTGTGTGTCAAGAAGATATGCCATGAGCTGTTGATGCTTAGTGGAAAGGGTGAGTAGTACATTCTTAAAACAGTGAGCATCATTGATTGCCTGTTTGAAAAAACTATGCTTAGATTCAAACCTAAACGTCCACAGATCCACTAATGGCCCAAAGCAACGTGTGAGATGCACATAGTGATCAATGAAGTGATGCTTTGGTTTCAACTTAAAATCAGGAAAAGTGCCAGTGAGTAACTGTTGATGGTCAGACAATTTATTCCCTAAGTAACATAATGTTCCCTCTGATAACGTAGTAGACACTGAAATCTCCACAATCTCTTTAAGGTCCATTAAAATTTCCCATGACGGCTCTTGCTCAGGTATATAGTTCCCGATCAAAAGAGGCAGCAAACGTAAAAGTGCCCAGTTTTCATGTCCGTTACCGTTTACCTTTCCAGATGCCAGGCTTGCCTTTGTAATTGGCTGTGGCTTGTTGACCGAATCAGAGAATTTGTAAGGAATTATTGCGGTTATTCAGTCCATCAAATGTAATGAAACTTTTTCTAATCAATTCTTTTAAACACAAACATAACTCCACTGCGACAACACCTTTAAATAGATCATGCAAAAGATCAGGGGGAAATCCAGTAACCTGGGTGGAAAAAAGACAACTTACTTAAAGCACAGGATGTTTTAACTCCATACCTGTGGAGTACCACAGGGATCAGTGCTAGGACCAATTCTCTTTACTTTATACATGCTCCCAATTGGTAGAATTATTAGACAGCATGGGATTAATTTCCACTGTTATGCTGATGATACCCAGCTATATCTGTCTATAAATCCAGATGAAGCTAACCCATTACATAGATTACAGGCATGTCTTGAAGACATAAAAACCTGGATGACTCTTAACTTTCTGCTTCTGAATGCAGACAAAACAGAAGTTATAGTCTTTGGACCAGAGTCTCTGAAAAAGAAACTGATTAGCCAGTCACTTCATTTGGATGGGATTAAACTGATTTCAGATAATAAAGTAAAAAATCTTGGTGTTATTTTTGATCAGGACCTGTCATTTAAATCCCATATCAAAGAGGTTTCTAGAATTTCCTTCTTTCATCTGAGGAACATTGCAAAAATTAGAAATATCCTGTCCAGGGGTGATGCTGAGAAACTAGTCCATGCATTTGTTACTTCAAGGCTGGGCTATTGTAATTCTTTACTATCAGGAAGTCCACAAACTGTAGTTAAAAGCCTTCAGCTGATCCAAAATGCTGCAGCCAGAGTTCTAATGAAAATTAAAAAGAGAGATCATATCTCGCCTATCCTGGCTTCTCTTCATTGGCTTCCTGTTAAATCAAGAATAGAATTTAAAATCCTCCTTCTCACATATAAAGCCTTAAATGGCCAAGCTCCATCTTATATCAGAGATATGATTGTTCCTTATGTTCCTAACAGAGCACTTCGCTCTCAATCTGCAGGTTTACTAGTGGTTCCTAGAATTTCTAAAAGTAGAATGGGAGGCAGATCTTTTAGTTATCAGGCTCCTCTCCTGTGGAACCAACTACCAGTTTTAGTCCGTGAGGCAGACACCCTGTCTACTTTTAAGGCTAGGCTTAAAACTTTCCTTTTTGATAAAGCTTATAGTTAGGGTGGCTCAGGTTATCCTGAGCTATCTCTATAGTTATGCTGCTATAGGCTTAGACTTTTGGAGGACATAGGGACCCCCATTTCATCATTCTGCTTCATTCTCTCTCTGTTCTCCTATTCTGCAGAATCTGTTAGTTCAATCTCTAACCTTCTGCTCTCTCTGCTTTTCCTCAGAGTAGCTTTGCCTCGTCTGTTCCTGTTTGGCTGTGACGTCATCCTGGAAAGAAACATCAGCTGTGCTGCTTCTATCAACACCCTTGTTTATAGATTTTGGAGATCGGCCTTTTTTCCAGTGTGGTCCTGTTTCTCTGACCGTGACTGAGTGGATGTGCTCTCTTCGTCCTCTGGCATGGGAGCTGCCTTGGAGCTCGTCTGCCTGGCTGTGTGTTTCCTGGACGGGGCCGCCTTTTACAGCTGCTTTTTGTATCTCTGCTTCTGTCTCCTTGAACCCCAGTCGGCCTCGGCAGATGGCCGCTCACACTGAGCCTGGTTCTGCTGGAGGTTTCTTCCTGTTAAAAGGGAGTTTTTCCTCTCCACTGTCGCTACAAGCATGCTTAGTGTGGGGGATTGTATTTGAGTCAATGCAATCAACTGGTTTTCCTTAGATAGAAAACTTTGTATCAATTTGACTGTATGATCTGGTTGAACTGTAAAGTGCCTTGAGATGACATGTGTTGTGAATTTGGCGCTATATAAATAAACTGAATTGAATTGAATTGAAATTCACACATGGCATAGGCTTATCACTCAACTTGAGTTGTTCCACAAAAGAATCATGCTGTGCCACAGTTCTTAGTGGAAAGTTCCTTGGCTCACAATTTCCAATTTGGTCTCGACTGATGCAACAAAATCTGCAAAATTTTTCAACATTGAAAGCTTCCTGAAAACCTGCTAAGCTATGTGCACCAAGGTTATCAGCACAGACACGAACACGGTTCCCTTTAAAAACGTATCTAGGGCCTCAATATACACTCCTGACTTTTCAAGAAATCCAAGATCCTTAATCAAAGGATAAAGAAAGGCATCATACCCAAATTGTCTGACATCGACAGTTTTTCCAAGACAAGCCAGTTGAATGAGGGGGAGAGTAGAACTAAACTTGCTTGGTATATTCAACAAAATCCAATAAACAGCTGTAATTTTATGGATTTTTCTTTAAGATCCCAAAGGATTACACAGTTCCAAGTCATCTATGTAAAGTCCTATAGAGATACTTGCATCTTGCACATAGGGTGGCCATTTCTATAGCACCAAAAAGGAGGACATTGTGCGGCATATCAATAAATTACTAAGGTGTACATAAGAATCGGGTAAAGTCACATTTATAGCACAATTCTTAGTAGTTTAAAGAGGATGCTTGTGTAGCTGAATAGAACAAAATATTAAAGAAATGTAAAAAGGAATTGGTTCCCAGCATTTGTATTTATTTAATACATTGTGGTGTTTAAAAAGTGACCATTTTTTAACACGATTAATTTGCGCAGAACTGCTGCAATTGATCATAAAGCAGTTGTTTGGAAAAGAAGCTCGAGAAAGAGCTAGAGAATAGGACGATGCAAACTGCAAAAAGTGGCTGGAAAAGAGGAATTCATGACATGGCTGCAGCCTGTCGAGAGTAAAGATGATTTCACCATGTTCTCTATCTATCCATATCTATATCTATATATATATATATATATAAACTTGAGTCATGGAACTGTGCTTACAGCTCCTTATTTCATGTAAACTAATAACTTGTGTACATGATACTTGTTGATGGCATTAAAATAATTTCTAATAGCATTAAAAGAGCATTAAATTAGAGCTCCTCATTCCTGTATAAAACCTGTGAACGCTTAATTTAATCTGACATATTAAAAAAATCCCCATCATCATCCAGCAGATGTTCAGTTTCTGCTCAAATATTTTCTTTCTGTTGTGGATTTTTGTAACAGGGATAACTACTAGGATCATACATAGTTTGTATGAACTCTGTTTATTCTCTGCTTCCAAACTCATCATCTCTTCATCCATTCCTGCAATAAGAATTTTCTTTTAAAGTTGTGAGATTCACTCTAGAATCTCACAACTTCTTCCTGGTCTGTTGAAGCACCAATAGTCTGCATCCAATTATTTAATTAACTGCTCTTAGTTTTTGGGAATATATACAAACTATGCTCTAATTTCTAGATACCGATCTGTTTTTACTATAATTTAATTTGACAAACCGGGTCTTCTCTACATTCTTTTTTCTGTTTGGTGCGATTGCAATAGCGGGTCTTGATCTGGACGGACCGGAGGGGAGCAAAAAATAGCTCAGCTCCGTATTTTGACGGTGAAGGACGGAGAAGACGTACGTGGGCGGTGACGAGCGGAGGATGTGGAACAGCTCTCATTGATTTACATGACAGACAAGTACTCCGTACGTGAGCGGGGCGGAGCGCTGACGGAGTATGTGGAATCTGGGGGTTAAGGAGGACAAATACACGTCTGGCTGGGTGCAGCGCCGGACGCCGGACAGTGCAATGAAAATCCGGACTGTCCGCCCTAAAGCCGGACATCTGGCCACCCTACTTGCACACCCAGAAGATCTATGGGGCCAAAATGGTAGCTTTATTATTTGCAAATGTGTGTGGAGAGTTGTGTGTCTGTATCTCAATTTGTGCGTGTGCAGTGGGATTTGAAAATGTGTAAATAAATCTGTAAATATGTGAGGAGATTTGTATGTCTGTACAACAATCTGCAAATGTGTAAAACTACTTGTGTGTAATCCGTTTTGCAAATGTGTAAAAAATCCACAAATCTGTATTCAGATCTGCAAATGTGTACTGAGATTTGCAAATGTGTAAAAAATCCACAAATCTGTATTCAGATCTGCAAATGTGTACTGAGATTTGCAAATGTGTAAAAAAATCCACAAATCTGTATTCAGATCTGCAAATGTGTACTGAGACTTGCAAATGTGTAGATCAATCTGTAAGCACACACAGAGACACTTGTGTCTGAATTATTTTCGCTTCAAGACCCAGAAATACAGACAAATCATTGGTTACAAGTCAAGCGGTTTTTCGGTTGGCTCTCTTTACACACGTGATTTTTGCTACTCTTCTGCCGCGTGAGATGCACAAATGCGTAGAAGGATTTGTATGTGTATTTTCGCGATTTGCAACCCCTTGCGCAGGCTCGCAGGCTCACATGCTGCCCTGACCGCAGGCTCGCAGGCTCACAGGCTCACAGACAGCCTCTACCTTTTTTTTTTTCCTCCGCTGCGGGACTTGACGTGACAAGGATGATATATTGATACCATTCAGTAAGGAAACAATTTAATCTATTAGGTTACGGAAAGATGGCAGAAGCTGTGGGAAGAGCATAGAACTGGAAGGTGGCTTTATAGTATTCAAAGGAAAATTGGTGCAATGAGGAGAACGGAAAGGAATAAAAAAGAGGTTATATCTAGATTAAGTTTCGGAAACACGGGGTTTAATGGAAACTTTTTTAGAATGGGAACAGGAGGTTGTGGTTTTTGTTATCAAGGGGAGACGGTGGAGCATGTTTTGTTGTTTTGTTATAAATATTCTATGGAGAGAAGGGAATTATTAAGTTGGTTACAAGAAAATAAATTACAGTTAAATATACAAGATATTTTGGAGAAAAAAATCTACTTATGATTATTTTTGTAATTTGATAAACAATCTTGAAAAAAACGAAATTGATAGAAAGGATATACGTTCATTTATGTAAATATTGTTAATATTTATTTTTATTTTTCAGTGGGAAAATACATAGCATCCCGATCCACACTCCACTGAAGTAGATGGCGGTAATGCACATCATAAAGTTGCTTGCCAACCGCCATAAAACAGAAGCAGAAGAAGAAGAAGAAGAATAAGAAGAAGAAGAAGAAGAAGAAGAAGAAGAAGAAGAAGAAGAAGAAGAAGAAGAAGAAGAAGAAGAAGAAGAAGAAGAAGAAGAAGAAGAAGAAGAAGAAGAAGAAGAAGAAGAAGAAGAAGAAGAGGGCCGTGACAAGGAAAGATGGCTGCTAACAGCGAGATGGATCGGACGTTTGAGGCTATAAATAATCCATGGGTACGCGACTTTAGTTTAAAACAACAAAGAAAAAAAATTTAGCATATTTATAATGGAATACAAATGTGAAGTTGTCATGGATAGGCTAATTTAGGTAATTAGTGATGCTAATGCAATGACTGTTTGCTACTAGTTGTCAGCTCTATCACTCTTGCTTTTTCAAGAGGATAAGGCACCAACATGTATGACTATATGACATCCTTCGTGAATTTGGTGTAATTATTAAGTGACCTTATGTAACTTATGACATGCATATACATACGTTGCAACTGAAAATACAACAATTACAGCGTTTTCCAATGTTGGCCCAGGGTTCTTTGTGATGCATTGTATCTTAAGAAAGTTATTCTATTCTAAATCTGACATTATTTCACAATCTCAGTCATAGTTGCTGCTAGTCAGTTGCGTGATATCTACACAAGGCAGTCTGCATTGAAAATGTAATGTGAACAATCGAAACAAAAATCACAATAGAGAATTAAATTGGATTTGAGCACTGAGGCCTGCAGTGTCAATCTACCTCAAACTTGCAGGACAGCAGGCCCAAGTCCTACATAGGAAAAGACTGTGTTAATAATTACCATGTTTCATTAGCTGTACAGTTAGCTGATGAATAAATAAATTTTAATGAAGAAATATTATCTTTTCTGTATTAGTAAGGACCTTAAATGTATTCTCATATTAACAGTTTACCATGCATTAGTATGTCTTGGAGTTCTCAGATTTTTTCAGATTTTATACTGGAAAATATTTGTATGTCAACTAACGTCAGATCTTTTCTGTTTGACAGGTGTTACTACGCCGCAACATTCTTGAGAGGCTACATTCTCGACTGCTGCATATTTTAAACCACAGACCATTAGATTTGGACCGCATGGAATTCGTGTGCACTCAGGACCTTGTCTTCTGCAGTGCCATTTCAAGTTACATCAACATTCCAGTGTGTATAATGGACATGCTCTCTGAACTGTGTAGTTTGATCAGGAATGAAAAGCAGTATGCCGAAAATCTCCAATCAAATCCTGTAGTCCAAATGGGCACAGGTCACGCTGGATGTCCCAAGATTAATTTTAGCCAAGAGTACCTTCAGTATCTTCTTGGAATACCCTTATCTGTTACAACTATTGCAAGCTTGTTAGGAGTGTCAAAACATACAATCCAAAGAAGACTGGCTGAAAACAACATGTCAGTGACCTCACTGTATAGTCAAATGACAGACGATGAGTTGGATTCCATGGTGGCAGACATAAAGTTGACAATGCCACACTGTGGTTACCGAATGATGAAAGGGGCCCTTAAATCCAGGGGTTGCCTGGTTCAGTGGGAACGAGTAAGGGCTGCAATGCACCGAGTGGACACCATAGGTGTGCTGAAAAGACTGACATCCATGGGATGTGTTGTAAGACGCAAATATTCTGTGCCCTGCCCAAGGTCTCTTGTCCATATTGACACCAACCACAAACTGATAAGGTAAGAAAGATCCTATGCATATACAGTTATAAAACATTAAAGGAATAGTACACCCAAAACATGATTAGCCTTCATTTTCTACTCACCCCCATGCTGAACAAAACTCTGGAGTACTTTTTTGATATCTCAAATGCATCTGGAGATCTGGGAGGCTTCTTGCTGTCTGCTGACATTCAAATAATGGAGGTCTATGGCGCCCGAGACAGAAAGGTCCACAAAAGTCCACAAAAACATGTCAATATTCCTCCATACTGATCGTCCAATGTAATCCAAGTGTCCTGAGTGGGTAGTATCCAGAATTTACTCGAAACGAAGTCATTTAGAACGTTTTAGAGCCTAAACAGTAGTGTATAGGATTTCCTAATAGCGCCCCCATGCGCGCTCACGATTCTACGGAAGCCGGCAGACCAAACCGGAAGAAAGTGCGCATTCAGCGTCTGCTCTGCCGATAATGCAAGCGTAGAAGAAGAAATGTGCTATTTACCTGTGCAAAGAAAGAAACAACGAAAGACAAATGTCTGAGGACTTCAGTGTTGAGGAAGAGCATGAGTTCTTTGCCGAGCTGAATGCGCTGGTTTGGTCTGCCGGCTTCCGTAGAATCGTGAGCGCGCATGGGAGCGCTATTAGGAAATCCTATACACTACTGTTTAGGCTCTAAAACGTTCTAAATGACTTTGTTTCGAGTAAATTATGGACGCTACCCACTCAGGACACTTGGATTACATTGGACGAGCAGTATGGAGGAATATTGACACGTTTTTGTGGACTTTTGTGGACCTTTCTGTCTCGGGCGCCATAGACCTCCATTATTTGAATGTCAGCAGACAGCAAGAAGCCTCCCAGATCTCCAGATGCATTTGAGATATCAAAAAAGTACTCCAGAGTTTTGTTCAGCATGGGGGTGAGTAGAAAATGAAGGCTAATCATGTTTTGGGTGTACTATTCCTTTAAAGTTAAAAAAAAACTCAACTTTAACCTTGATCCTTTTATAATCTATCTCTCAACAGATATAACATTGTTATTTTTGGTGGCATAGATGGGTATTCCAGGAAGGTAGGTTTTTGTATGAATTACATGCAAGTATTGTGGTAAACCTATAATCTTATGTTTCTTATCACTTCTTAGATTCTGATTATATACTAATAACTATTCTGTATAGCTTCTTCTAAATTGATCATTTTACTCCATATAGTGTACTGTTTCTTATATTCAGTCTATATAGCTAAAAGATTAGTCTTATCAGTTACATTCTCAATCAATTATTCTGTAGCCATTACATAAACCTTATATATATATTCAATGGTTTATTTGGTAATAAACTATCAGTTACTTATTGCACAAGGTTGTACGTTCTGTGGTAATGACACTTATTTCTGGTCACTATTTCAGAATCAACTGTAACAGTGTATTTTATAAAAGCAAAAATGTACATTGTGTTGATACAAAGTAATTAGTTAGCAGTCTTAAGGTGGTTTGGATATATAACATATCAAAACTTCACACACGTACACACACACTTACATATTTCAAGTATTTGTTGTCATTGTGATAATTTATACTTACGTGATACAAATTTAAAAACTTTACATAAAGGATGGCAAGGCATGTAGGCAATCAGTCTGTGGCTCTGCTGAGCTGTTAATGAAGTCCAGGTTGCTCAGATGGCTGTATTCTGCTCTTCTGTGTTGTTTCTCATTGTTGTTGGTCTGGTGTCTTGCATCTTCCTCTTCTCAACACTGTATAGATCCTTTATATATTCTCTATGGGGTTTAGTTTCGATGAGCTTGCTGACTAATCAATCACAGGGATACCACAGTCCTTAAACCAGGAATTGGTACTTTTGAGTACCAATTCCTGGTTTAAGCTACAGACTAAATGTCATTTTGCCACACCATCCTTTCTCTTTTAAAAGAATAATATTTTTTTATTGGTCTTAAGTAATATTACATTATTCTGGGATATATGAATTTCGAGTTTTCATTAGCTGTACGTTCAAATCATCATCGCAATTAAATAAATCACTTGAAATATATCTCTGTGTAGTCTTTTTTTTTAACTGAGTTACCTAAATAAGTTCAACTTTTCATATTTCAGTTTATTGAGTTTACACTCAAAATGCTCATATTCTTAAAACAACACTGCGACTACTCAGAAATCAAATTGTATTGCCTTTTACCCATCTATACATCAAGAAGTAGTGAATACAGACATGATTTTAGAAGCAGCCAGAGATGTGTTTTAAGATATGCTTTTTTTAAATGATGTTTTTCAGATAATGTACCTTCGGGCTGCCAATAACAACAAGTCATCCACAAACCTGGACTTTTTCCAAGAGTTTGTAGAAAAATATGGCTTCCCACTAAGGTACAATGGATTTGCCAATGTAACCTGCTATTTAACTGGCTACTGGTGTGTGTCAGCATCTCAGGATTTTATTTATTACTGAAGCACACTTTTAACCAAGGTCAATCAAATGGTAACATGTGCTTTAGCTTTAGTTCATATAATTATGTCAACATGTGCATCGAACTGACCAAAGACCAGTTAGGTCACTATATACACTAACTGGACTTTTACAAAGTTTATTAAGAGCTAAGACTTGAACTCTCAATGACCTGAAATAGCCTTTGTTCCTGTAAAGTTCATCAAATTTGCTTGTATCCATCTTATATATTTTTCAGAGTGAGAGCTGATCACGGAGTTGAGAATGTTGGTGTGGCACGCCTCATGTTCTCAGTACGTGGTACTGGAATTGGGAGTTTCATTTCTGGGAAAAGTGTGCACAACCAAAGGTAGAATAATTTGTTTTAGATTGTTTTTTAGCTCTTAAGCACTGTTTAAATTTTGTACACACATTGTGCATAAAGGACGTACACTTACATAGAATGTATTATTCAGGTAGAAAGGAAAAGCAAATTATCTGGCACACTAGTAACAGTGCCATGAAATTACAAGCACTCAATGTTTGTGGGCAGACTCTGCTTTTTTTTTATCCCACTGCTATTATGATACCTAATCATGCAGTGTTTGATGTTGGGTTTTTATTAGAAGAAAAATATTTGTTTTTGTTTTCAACGGTTTTAAAATTATATTTTCTTATGTTTTAGACCTATCTATAATATAATTGTATTATTTGTTTGATGCCAATACAGGTATATTACATATAGGTTTATAATGGGAAGATAATAGTTAAAAAGTGGGAAATCTGACTCATAATAACATAATCAGTATTACTGCATTTCTCAACCAGATTCCATTCCATTTGCATCAACATACAGCTTCATGGGGTCACAGTGCTTCACACTGCTAATCCACAGTAAAAAGGATGAAATTCCCACCTGGTACATGACCTTTCTGTGTGGAGTTTGTGTGGATTTACTTTGGGTACTCAAGTTTCCCCCATCATCCAAAAATGTATGCTAGGAAGTGGGTTAGCCTCGAAAAGGAGACTGTTCAATGGAGCTAACCTGTCCAAACAAAGGAAAAGTTAAAAAAGAAGCAACATTTTTGCGTTATTGCAGGATTACAATGGGGAAGTGGACCAAAATGTTTATTAGAGTGCCTACTAACTCTCCACCAGAAATTATAGCACAGCACTTACAAGGAGCAAGGCAGCACTGAAAATTGTACATTTTACTTTTAGTGCTCCTTTCACTTGAAACACATTTGCTGTAGCAAAAGTGTTACATGATTAAAAAGTGAAAATGCAGATTTTACCAAAAGCTTCTTGAAAGGTTCAAGACAAACAGGCTTAAGCCAGGTATAATAAAGAATTCCTAGAACCTTCACAAGATCTCTCTTCTGATCATATAGAGTGGGATTTGCACTAAGGCAATACCCCACACTGATTCTTCTGCGGAGAATCGGGTTATTCACTGTTGATATTCAAAATCTGGCTTAGTCAAACGACACTTGAGTGACGAGAATGTATACAAACATGGGAGACTTACTCTTACTTTCTGGGTGAAGTCATATAAAGAAAAATATTGTCTAGGAAGTCATGAGAACAGCAGGGATGTGGGGTGATGGCGACAGATGAAGGTGGATAAAAATGACCACAAGCATTAGCTAGCTTGGAGAGCAGGGCTGTGGCTCTTTTCTTTTTTGTTTGTTAACTTCCTTTTCCATAGCTCAACTCTTAGTCAGCTGTTAGCTGTCACATCGTCATTGGCTGCTGTTCTGTTAGCCTACACGTGATGTCTCTGTAAGAGAACTGTTTTTGCTTTCCCAAAACTTTTGGACAGTTCATGTTTGGGTCACACACACAAACATGTTTTTATCTACAATCTCCTTCCAAGCGAATCAGACTGTGTAAAAAAAAAAGAAATCACTCTTAAATCGCCTCACGCCACAGGAAGATCAGACACAATGTTTGCAAATATCCAACAATCTTACCTTTGCTGGCTTTGATCGTAAGGGGGATATCGGGATGAATATTGGCCTAATTGTCCTGTAATGTCTTCCTGCCTTATATAACCAGGGTAGCAACATATATTTTGTTTATTTAACATTTAATGTTACATTGTAAAGTTCTGCATTGTTCATTTAAACTATATATTAAAACAGCTTGTGCAAAAAAATCTTTTCAAAAAGTCTGCCTTTTTCTCAGGATTGAAAGACTTTGGAGAGATGTTTACATGGCAGTGACTCATGTCTTCTACACTGTTCTCCACACTTTGGAAGATGAAGGATATCTTGACCTGTCAAATGAACTACACTTGTTCAGCTGCCATTATGTCTTCATCCCAAGACTCCAGTTGTCCCTTGATGTGTTCAGTGATGGATGGGACAACCATCCACTAAAATCAGAACAGAACTTGTCACCTAACCAAATGTGGGAATTGGGACAAATGCAGTGTCCTGTTCCAGACCCTGATGTCCCTCATGTACGTGAGATGCCTAACTTGTTTGTGACACTGTTCAGTGTTGGTACTCAGTCTAATTTTTTTAATTACAATTAACCCATTCTGTTTTGTGACTTTAGTGTAAAACAATAGTGGACTGTCAGATAAATGTTCATTGGAGTAGGACTCAAGGATTAAGCAGCCCAATGTTAACTTAACAGTATTTTTTTTTTTTTTTTGCTGTAGGAGTTGCACTTGCCAGACATTGAGTGGGAGTCCAGTGGAATCCATGATGGTCAGAGCCCAGGTGTCATTGTACCAGTTTTCCAGACACCTCTGAGTGAACTGGAGATGGAGAACCTCAAAAGAGCAATAGATCTCACTGCTCCTTCTGATTGCTATGGAATGGACATTTACATGGCCACAGTTGAAAGTGTCCAAAGAATCATTCAGAACAGATGAAGTTGCTTGATTTGTGCATTAATAATTATTACTTAAAAAGCTTAGTTTTGGCTGTTACATTTTTAAAGCACAGGTAACATTTGGATTTGCATATAATTAAATGTTAGACAGTCCTTTTCACATTGAAGTTTTTGTGTAATTGTAGAGAAATGTACAGATAAAATGCAACTGTAATTTCAAATAAATGTATTAATCTACCAACTGATTTCAAGAAAATGTGATAAAACTTTAGGAATCAATGCTTGTTTATTGAAATGTATACAAAACAAGTTAGAGTAACCATTTGCAGAACTCCACATATTTAAAGAGGAACGTGGAAAATGGTATTGAACATTTACAGCATCATAGTGGTCAGGGCAGCCACACATACACAAATGCAAAACAAAGATTTTAATTAAATTAAACAATGCAAAAGAAGAGCATAGCCCTGAGTAGTACCATAAATAAAGATTTAAATTGTGATAGTACGACAGGGCGACAGTGGCGTTGGATGTAGGAGTTTGCCCTGTAATCGAAGGGTTGACGGTTCAAGCCCCGACTCCGACTTTCATTGTCGTTGTGTCCTTGGGCAAGACACTTCACCTGCATTGTCTACTGATGGTGGTCAGAGGGCCCGGTGGTGCCAGTGTACGGCAGCCTCGCTTCTGTCAGTGAGCCCCAGGGCAGCTGTGGCTACAATGTAGCTTGCCACCATCAGTGTGTGAGTGTGTGTGTGAATGGGTGAATGAATGTAGTGTAAAGCGCTTTGGTCAGGTCTCCTAACTTGAATAAAGGCGCTATATAAGTACATGCCATTTACCATTTAGTACATACCTAAAAGGTAAAGCTGTTTGAAACATTTTAAGCGCTTGGCACTGGCTAATACAAAATTTGGAACTCTAACAGGAACTCCTCTGTTTTAGCAATTAACGTGAATTTAACAAAACAGAAAGAGGAATAGCTTTGTGTACACCGCCTTGAAATATTGCAAACTTTCCAGTATTGGTCTTTTGTTGAAAAACAACTTTTTTCTTTAAACACGGTAACACCAAAGTCCAAAGTATAATTTGCTTTTACACAAGACCAAACCCTGTTTCGTTAGTAGCAATAGCACACATCAAGTTGGACTCAAAATCTTTGTAGTGTGTGTGATGGTCAGGCAACTTGATGGTCTCAAAGCAAGTCAAGGCCCTGGGGAGGTGGCCACTTGCCACCTTCACGATCAGCTCCTCTGGAGGGACCTCCCAACCCACCCAGAACCGTAGCAGGTTTTTCAATTGCTCTGAAGATGCTGAAGTGAAAACGGTACAGAGCTGTGAGAAATATGTCCTATACATACAGTTGAACAATGAGTTGCTTCATAGTTTCCAACTTGCTGGGATAGTGTTCAGTCATTCATGTTCCGGACGATGCATATGCAGAATAAGGCAGGACAAGTTGCCTCAGCAGCACTGATTAAAACATGTCGTTCAATAATTTCGTAATGAACGACATGACAAATTTATCAAATAATGATAACTTATTATTACTATTAAAAGCATATCTACAGATTAAATTGAAAAATGTCTTCCATGTATGAAAACTTTAATCTCTCTATATATAGATATAGATATTGTTATAGTGTTTATCAGATTGTGAAGTAAAAATGTAAAAAGACTTAATGAAATTGGTAAAGTGCAATCAAATAATTTGACCACAAAAAATTTTGGCCGATACAGACGTCTGCTTTACCAACCATGTAAAAAGTTTCGACAATGTGACTTGAGTTTGGACCAACATGTTAGTAATCTGCAACAAATAAACGTTTGTAGGCATCAGTAATAATCCAAAGTCCACAAAACATACCACGTTCTACAAAGGTCCTGAAAAAAGCGGTGACTCGAGTGACTGCCTCAGCCGAGATGTCATCTTCATCGTCATCAGAATCTGGATTTGTTGTGGGCCATTTTATGTGGCCAAGAATCATCTGCAAAGACAGAAACTGGTGTGAAGGCTTCTACTTCATACTTGGGAATAAAAATGCAGGGACGTATTCAAAAACAGCATGACTTAAGTTAGGGCTGGGCGATATAGAAAAAAAGCTTATCGATAAAAAAAAATGCATATTGATCGATATCGATAATTATTGAAAAAATTTCAAACCATATTTTATGTGCAGCTCTGCCTGGACTTTTTATAATATTGCTAAATGATTTAATTTTAATAAAAAACACAAACACAGACTTCTAATTAAATCTTTATTTAACCAACTTTTTTAACCATAACATAATTGTTTTAAAGAAAAATAACTTAAGAGACCTGAGTTTTGTTATTAAATACTGACAAAGAATAAACTAAAGTGACCAGAAAAGTGACCAGAATAAATATAACATATAAATAAATGCCCCCCCCACCGCCGCCGCCGCCCCCGTTTCCTGCTTTAACCTGAGTTATAACTTTGAAGTGTCTGGCCCCTCAGCATTTTTATCTCAATTGTTAGAACTACGTGGGAAACTGCCCAGAACTGAATATATATATATATTTTCCCGAAGATTCCTCGGAGGAGAGCCGCGCCGGGGCCTACACAGCTCGTACTCCTGCGGCTGTGAGCGGCTGAGGTGATAAAAAAAAAAAAAAAAAGTTGGTTGTGTTATCAGACTTGGTTTTCACTGGTTCCCGACACATTTTACAGATGACTGTGGTTTGTTTTTTGTCCGACGTGCCATGACCGAAATACTCCCAGACTGCCGAACTACAAAAACCCTTCTTTGAAACAATTTCCTCCGCCTCTCCTTGCTGCGACATCTTCATGTGCTCTGTGTTGTGGTTTGAGAGGGCGGCGCTTGGTGACGGCGTGCCTGGGTCCGCGTTTGTGATTGGTTGGGAGGAAGTAGTGACTAGCATAAACCTACATGCTAGGCTACAATGAGAAGGAAAGCAAACTGCGTTTCTTTTTTATCGAACTTTTATCGACCCTCTTTTTTTCTATTGCGCCACACGTCTATGGATCGATATATATCGTTATTGAATTATCGCCCAGCCCTAACTTAAGTACATCTTAAAGGTTTTTACAAAACCAAATCTGACATACCTGGGGTGTGATCTCAGCTTCTCTCTAGCAAGGGAAAAGCTACTTCACCACATCGGCCCTATTTGAGAGAAGCGGCCAAATGCCAGTTTCCTTCAGTCCCTTTCTCAACTGCTTTACTTGTCTTGCTGATCGTCCCAGAACCTGTTAAAAACAGTTTTGCAGGAACAAATAAACAAAAACATATGACAAGCAATTAAAATTGTCTACTTAGTATGAACATTCATGAGTGGGAACTCATCCCCTTTTCTACCAAGTTAACACAAACCACCAGCAGTACTAGCATGTACTAGTATACATGGTCACATCATACTCACATATTTTTTGCATTTGTCAGATCACTGCTAGCAGATGTCTTGGTCTTAAGCATAAACAGATTATGGCATCAAAATTGTTTCGTTGTTATGGTGCCTGAGGTGCGTCTGCCAAGTGGTTTCGCTAATTTAATAGAAATAGTACTCATCTTTATTGTCATTAAAACATACATTGCAACGAAATTTGTTCTCTGGTTTTAACCTATCCCTTTGGGGAGCAGTGGGCTGCCATGTGCGGCACCCGGGGAGCAATCTGGGATTAAGAGTCTTGCTCAGGGACCCAGAGTGGAGGCGCTGGGATAACCACTCGGCCAACCACCCCCCAATTTGCAGCTTTGCAGATTTTTGAGGTTCTTGGTGATCCAGTATAGCTTCCGTGGAATAACTGACATCAAATACCATTTATAGACTGAAAATTGATGCACAAAAGTAGACAATTTGTCATAAAAATTTCACTAAGTGTACTTACTTTTACTCTGCATGTGTGGTCATATATTATGAAGTTTATACCAATATCATAAGAGAGGAACAGTATCTTTAACTTTGTCTTGGAAATAGCAATATATATATTTTTAAATACATATATCACGTGTAATTATGAAAAAAATTCTATGCAAATATGCACATTTTAGCACAAACCTCACTGTTATTTATTAGATTTTCTTTTTTTATTCTAAAAACTGCACTTAAAGCTCTTCACTGATATATGTGCTCTCTTGTGGCTTGACAGAGTAGTACATTGTGACAGTGCAACCACTAGGTGGAAGCTTAAAGTGTGAAATTTTAAGGACAAGTCTAATTTGTGTTGAATGAAGCAGGTGGTGGAGGAAAGTAAAAAATGTTATGTCTTCGTATATGTAATGATCTTGGTTCTGTTGTTTTTCTTTAAGTTTTCTGTTTCAAGTTTAGCCAGGTTTTTCGTTGATTTCTAGCTTTTTTGGTGTGTCTGGATTCATTTAAGTTGCTTAGGTTTTTCTGTCTGTCCCCTGCTGCCTCCTTGTGTTCTTTTCCCTTGGCTTCCTCGTCAGCTCTAATCACACCTGTTCCCTATCAGCTCATTAGCTCTACCTTTGTTCAGTCAGCCATAAATACACTCCCTCTGCAGTCCCTCTTTGCTGGTTCCTCGTCTTACCTTTCCTCACCCTGGCTCCTTGTTGGTTTTTCCCTGATGTCTCCATGGTTCTGGTTAGTGTTTGATTTTTATGTTGGATTTTTGGATTCCTGTTTTTGTTTAACTTTTTTAAGTTGGATTTTTAGATTCCTGTTTTTTGTTTAACATTTTTTAAGTTGGATTTTTGGATGCCTGTTTTTGTTGCCTGATCTTGGCGTCAGCCTGACGCCTCCACTCCCTCTCCGGCGGGTCAGCCTGACGCCTCCAATCCCTCTCCGGCGGGTCAGCCTGACGCCTCCACTCCCTCTCCGGCGGGTCAGCCTGACGCCTGCTTCAATCCCACTCTTCTTCAGGTCAGTTTCCCCTATGGCCTTCGCCGTCACCTCCATGACCAGCAGTTAGCTCCTCGAGTTAGAGGTTTAAATTCAGTCACCATGATAACACCCACTGCAGTCAGAGCACCACATATTGAGGAGTCAAAGTTATGGGACTACTTTTATGGGCAAAGGGAGGATCTATTCCCTTTCCTTCCACCTCCATCGGTTCCCTGTCAGCCAGCACATCCCAAGCCCTTTAGAGGGCCAGTTTCCCCAGCTCCAGAGCCCAGTGGAGGGCCAGTTTCCCCAGCTCCAGAGTCCAGTGGAGGGCCAGTTTCCCCAGCTCCAGAGTCCAGTGGAGGGCCAGTTTCCCCAGCTCCAGAGTCCAGTGGAGGGCCAGTTTCCCCAGCTCATGAGCCCAGTAGAGGGCCAGTTTCCCCAGCTCCAGAGCCCAGTAGAGGGCCAGTTTCCCCAGCTCCAGAGCCCAGTAGAGGGCCAGTTTCCCCAGCTCCAGAGCCCAGTAGAGGGCCAGTTTCCCCAGCTCCAGGGCCCAGTAGAGGGCCAGTTTCCCCAGCTCCAGGGCCCAGTAGAGGGCCAGTTTCCCCAGCTCCAGAGCCCAGTAGAGGGCCAGTTTCCCCAGCTCCAGAGCCCATTAGCGGGCCGTTTAGCCTAGCGCCAGAGACTCCTGAGCCCATTAGCGGGCCGTTTAGCCTAGCGCCAGAGACTCCTGAGCCCATTAGCGGGCCGTTTAGCCTAGCGCCAGAGACTCCTGAGCCCATTAGGGGGCCGTTTAGCCTAGCGCCTGAGACCCCTGAGCCAGCCCTGAGCCGTCTTGAGTCAGCTCTGTGCCTTTTAGAAACCCCTGAGTCAGCTCTGTACCGTTTAGAGACCCCTGAGTTAGCTCTGTGCCGTCCCAAGACCCCTGAGCAGAACTTAAAGGAGGTGTCTGAATTTGAGGTATGTGGCTTTACGCCTCCTAGGACCTCTCTGCAGGCGCCCCAAGCCACCCAGAGCCCTCTGCGGGCACTTCAAGCCACTTCAGAGACTAAACCTTTGCGGCCATGGGTGGTTTCCCCCATGCTGGATGTGGAGCCACAGTCGTTGGTCTCCCCTGTTCCTGAGGCGGAGCCGCAATCGGCGGTCTCCCCTGTTCCTGAGGGTGAGCCGCAATCGGCGGGCTCCCCTGTTCCTGAGGGTGAGCCGCAATCGGCGGGCTCCCCTGTTCCTGAGGGTGAGCCGCAATCGGCGGGCTCCCCTGTTCCTGAGGTGGGGCCGCAATCGGCGGGCTCCCCTGTTCCTGAGGTGGGGCCGCAATCGGCGGGCTCCCCTGTTCCTGAGGTGGGGCCGCAATCGGCGGGCTCCCCTGTTCCTGAGGTGGGGCCGCAATCGGCGGGCTCCCCTGTTCCTGAGGTGGAGCGGCAATCGGCGGGCTCCCCTGTTCCTGAGGTGGAGCGGCAATCGGCGGGCTCCCCTGTTCCTGACCCGGGGCCGCAGTCGGCGGGCTCCCCTGTTCCTGACCCGGGGCCGCAGTCGGCGGGCTCCCCTGTTCCTGACCCGGGGCCGCAGTCGGCAGGCCCCCCTGTTCCTGACCCGGGGCCGCAGTCGGCGGGCCCCTCTGCTCCTGACCCGGGACCGCAGTCGGCGGGCCCCTCTGCTCCTGACCCGGGGCCGCAGTCGGCGGCCACCTCTGTTTCTGTTGCTGAGCCTCTGAGGCTGTTCCTGAGCCGCAGTGGGCGGCCACCTCTGAGGCTGTTCCTGAGCCGCAGTGGGCGGCCACGTCTGAACCTGTTCCTGAGCCGCAGTGGGCGGCCACGTCTGAACCTGTTCCTGAGCCGCAGTGGGCGGCCACGTCTGAACCTGTTCCTGAGCCGCAGTGGGCGGCCACGTCTGAACCTGTTCCTGAGCCGCAGTGGGCGGCCTTGTCTGAACCTGTTCCTGAGCCGCAGTGGGCGGTCTTGTCTGAACCTGTTCCTGAGCCGCAGTGGGCGGCCTCGTCTGAACCTGTTCCTGAGCCGCAGTGGGCGGCCCAGTCTGATCCTGTTCCTGAGCCGCAGTGGGCGGCCCCTTCCGAGGCTGTTCCAGAGCCGCAGTCGACGGCTCCCTCTGAGCCTGTTGCAGAGCAACAGAAGCGGAGGCGGCGTCCTCCTCGGCGCATCCTGCTGAAGCGGAGGCGGCGTCCTCCTCGGCGCATCCTGCTGAAGCGGAGGCGGCGTCCTCCTCGGCGCATCCTGCGGAGGCGGCGTCCTCTTCCTAGGTTTCTGCTGCATTGGAGACGCCGGCCTCCAGAGCGTCTCTCTCAGCTCCGGCCCCGCGGCCGGCCTCCAGAGACTCTGCCTCGCCTCCGGCCCCGCGGCCGCCCTCCAGAGACTCTGCCTCGCCTCCGGCCCCGCGGCCGCCCTCCAGAGACTCTGCCTCGCCTCCGGCCTCGCGGCTGCCCTCCAGAGACTCTGCCTCGCCTCCGGCCCCGCAGCCGGCCTTTCAGAGACTTTCGATTGTCCTCGCCCACTCTGGATGGGTTGCGTTTTGTTTCTTGGACTGTTTTTGGCTTCTTGCCCTCCTTCCTGGTTCCCCCTCCGCCCACCCTGGGTTGTTTTTTGTTTTTTGGACATCAAGCCACTTCAGAGACTAAACCTTTGCGGCCATGGGTGGTTTCCCCCATGCTGGATGTGGAGCCACGGTCGTTGGTCTCCCCTGTTCCTGAGGCGGAGCCGCAATCGGCGGGCTCCCCTGTTCCTGAGGTGGGGCCGCAATCGGCGGGCTCCCCTGTTCCTGAGGTGGGGCCGCAATCGGCGGGCTCCCCTGATCCTGAGGTGGAGCGGCAATCGGCGGGCTCCCCTGTTCCTGACCCGGGGCGGCAATCGGCGGGCTCCCCTGTTCCTGACCCGGGGCCGCAGTCGGCGGGCTCCCCTGTTCCTAGGTTTCTGCTGCATTGGGGACGCATTGGAGACGCCGGCCTCCAGAGCGTCTCTCTCAGCTCCGGCCCCGCGGCCGGCCTCCAGAGACTCTGCCTCGCCTCTGGCCCCGCGGCAGCCCTCCAGAGACTCTGCCTCGCCTCCGGCCCCGCGGCCGCCCTCCAGAGACTCTGCCTCGCCTCCGGCCCCGCGGCCGCCCTCCAGAGACTCTGCCTCGCCTCCGGCCCCGCGGCCGCCCTCCAGAGACTCTGCCTCGCCTCCGGCCCCGCAGCCGGCCTTTCAGAGACTTTCGATTGTCCTCGCCCACTCTGGATGGGTTGCGTTTTGTTTCTTGGACTGTTTTTGGCTTCTTGCCCTCCTTCCTGGTTCCCCCTCCGCCCACCCTGGGTTGTTTTTTGGACATTAAAGGGGCGTCTGGAATCCGCCCTTAAGTGGGGGGCTCTGTAATGATCTTGGTTCTGTTGTTTTTCTTTAAGTTTTCTGTTTCAAGTTTAGCCAGGTTTTTCATTGATTTCTAGCTTTTTTGGTGTGTCTGGATTCATTTAAGTTGCTTAGGTTTTTCTGTCTGTCCCCTGCTGCCTCCTTGTGTTCTTTTCCCTTGGCTTCCTCGTCAGCTCTAATCACACCTGTTCCCTATCAGCTCATTAGCTCTACCTTTGTTCAGTCAGCCATAAATACACTCCCTCTGCAGTCCCTCTTTGCTGGTTCCTCGTCTTACCTTTCCTCACCCTGGCTCCTTGTTGGTTTTTCCCTGATGTCTCCATGGTTCTGGTTAGTGTTTGATTTTTATGTTGGATTTTTGGATTCCTGTTTTTGTTGCCTGATCTTGCAATAAAGCGTCCAAGAATTCACCTCTGCCTCCCAGCTTCTGCTTTTGGGTCCAATTAAGAAACATTAAACCAAATCCTGACAGTATATGCCAAGTTTTAGGACATTAAAATTAAGAAGACAATTTTAAATCACTCATAATACACAGACTTTTCTTACCGCATGCAGGAGCAGCTTGTCATGAAGCCACTTCACGTTGCTTGAAGTTGGAAAAGGAAGGTCCCAAGCCATGCAAAGGCTTACTACTTTGCCCCGTTCTTCATCTGTCAGTTCACAATTTTCTGCCAACTTAACACAGAACAAAGGACATATGTGGAGAAACAGAAATAAGGTTTTGCCACTGCCCAGCAAAAAAAGGAACACCGGAATTATACTAAAGAGACAAGAGCCTTCCGTTGGATAATAACTTTTCAGCAATGTGCAGTTTAAATGAAGGCTTCCAAACCTACCAATGTAATTGTTTCCCGAATATCCAAATCAGGACAGTCTTCAATCATGACTGTGGCAGTGTCTAGGGAACCTCCAAGCAGAACATGTGTGATGGATGGGCTGAGACCGGGGAAACCAGGACCGCCATACAAAAAGCAATGCCCTATCATTCGACCTGCCATCAAAAAAAGCTCGCTCTCCACCATCACAGCAGAGTTGGCAGGTACCAAATGGTCTGGTTGGCCCTCAAACACTTTGGTGATTGCTCCATTTCCTAGTTTAGAAACATTTTCAAGGAAGCTTAAATTTAAGACAGTAATTGCTGTTTTTGTGAAGAGTAACACCAACCAAGATTAAGGTGAAATCCCCTTCTCAGCTTCAGCATCAGTGTTGACATCACATGTCGGTTAACGCCTAGTCCTACAGCAGCATCACCTATAGAAAAGATTGAGACTGCTTAGCATGCTAAAGTATAAAACAACAATACCATCATTTAAACAAGAGAAAAACACATACCTTCAAGTCTGCATGTCAATGGTGACCCCCACTCCACATTGTTGCGCTTGTAGAAGCGGACGTAGGACATGTCCTGTTCTTCCTGATCTTTCCTCAAGTCCACTGTAAAACGATTTTCTTCAAATCATTGCTTATTGTTCAGGAGCTGTTGCGTAAAGAGCTGCACAGCTCTTTTGGGGTCTGCAACAGTCATCCATTCTGATGCTAAAACATGTATGTAGTATATAAATTAGCATTACAACAAATTAAAAATAGAGATCACAAATGCAAATGTAGGTACATGATGAATGAACCAACAAAGTGGAGCACAGTTTACAAAATGAGACATTGTATGAGGAAAAAGGGGAAAAGGAAACAAAGGAAGATGCACCCTACCTTCACCAGATGTACTTGCTGATGTGCTAGCTGCTGTATTTGGATGACGTGGTGTTTCAGCATTATCTTGGTCTTTAGGAATGCTGGAAAAAAGGAAGACATTAACAGATCTGGTAATCACAGAGGCTTTTAATGGCTGCTATGTGGGTTGAAGTTTTCTGTCTTTGATGGCAAATTGTCTTGGTGCATTTTCTGTGACATTTGAAAAATACATAAAAAAATGCAATCTCTGGAAAACTACCTCATGCCACAGAAACTTGCATGGATCTCCACAGTGTGTGTTGGATACAGCTGGCTACAGATGGGACAGGCAACAATGAAGGGCACCGCAGCTGTAGGACATTTGTTCATCTTCACAGAATACATATAAAAAAAGGTTGTCACAGGCAGTGTCAGCACAATGTTTCATTTTAACTTTATTTCTAAAGTAAAAATCTGTTGTACATTCTTCAGCTGTGGACTCCAAACCATTGCTGTATACAAAAAAACAGTATACAAACAGAGCACTTTGCTCTCAGACTGCAGGTCTGCTGGTGGTTCCTAGAGTCTCTAAAAATAGAATGGGAGGCAGATCTTTTAGTTCTCAGGCTCCTCTCCTGTGGAACCAACTACCAGTTTTAGTCCGTGAGGCAGACACCCTGTCTACTTTTAAGACTAATCTTAAAACTTTCCTTTTTGATAAAGCTTATAGTTAGAGTGGCTTATGTTACTCTGAGCTACCTCTATAGTTATGCTGCTATAGGCTTAGGCTACTGGAGGACATCAGGGTCTAATTTTCTCACTCTATAGAGTTCTACTGTTCTCCTTTCAGCTTTTAACTTTTTGTTCTCCCTCTATTTTCTTCATAGAAGGTACACCTGGTCTGGCGTTCTGTTACCTGTGGCATCATCCAGGGAAGACAGATCACCTGCTATTACCATCTAATGTAAAACAGATTACTGGATCAATGTGAGCTTCTGTGCATTTTTTTCTTGTCTTGTGTCTCTGCTCTGTCTTCTGTAACCCCCAGTTGGTCGAGGCAGATGCCCGTTATACTGAGCCCGGTTCTGCTAGTTTTTCTTCCCGGTTAAAGGGGAGTTTTTCTCTCCACTGTTGTTCATGCTTGCTCAGTATAAGGAATTGCTGCAAAGCCATGGACAATGCAGACGACTCTCCCTGTGGCTCTACGCTTCTTCAGGAGTGATGCTGCTTGTCGGGACTTTGATGCAATCAACTGTTTCCCTTATATAGGAATATTTTGACCAATCTGTATAATCTGACCCAATCTGTATAATATGATTGAAATTAACTTTGTAAAGTGCCTTGAGAAGACATGTTTTATGAAATGGCACTATATCAATAAAATTGAATTGAATTGAATATAGGGGCCAAATTATGTCACATTGTGACAGACTACATATAGCACTAAGATATATTGACACATTTAATAATGGGCAATAATATACCTTCATGGATGGCATTACTAATAACAATATGACCTGATAAAATAAATAAACAGAATTAATAATAACAATAATAATACTGGTAGAAATAGATAAGAAAAAAGATATTCATACCATGGAATATTAAAGCTAATTTCAAATAAAGATAGGCTTACATCATCATTGGATGTGGATTTTCCAATGGGGTCTGTTTCATCATTTGAAGAGACACACTCAACATCTGAGTCTTCACCCTGGTCATACCAAAAGATAAATAAATACCACAAAAAAGGTTTCCTAATATTTCGCAAAATGATGAGTAAAAAAGTAATAAACCAACTTACTTCACAGTCTTGGTTGTCTTTGCAACTGTCAACATGAAGGGCCAAAAGATGGAGCGGCATCGTCTCCTGACAGTTTTCACAGGTGGCTTTTGGCATTTTTGAAAATTCTGAGGCATTTTTGGAAAGGGGAGTAACATCTAATTCACCCTGTAATGGGGCAATGTATAACACATTTTCCCCATTATTTGATGCCCTCTTAAGTTGTGGGGTAGTGTAGCCCTCCACCTGAGGGCTTATGACTGCCAGTTGCCTTTGACCACTTCCCCCTGAAACACAAAAATCTCAGTCAACAGTGAACACATGGGTAGCAAATAAAACCATAATAATTTGCCAGCAATATAATACAATGTTTGAGCTACTAACATCACATTTAGCCAGTAGTCTAATAGGTTATATCATTTTGGGCCAGTTGTCTCATCATTGGCCTCATATATCCTTTCAAATGTTATAGCAGGAACTAATAATAACAAAATAACCAATCCAAAACAAAATAACTTATCACATTAAGGTCAAATTTTTTTGCATTGCTGGCTGGCAATATGTTTTGGCCTGTTATGTTTTTAGTTGTTACACATGTTTTTTAGTGATATGACAAGTGTGAAGAAAGAATAAATTCAGACAGTGTCATGTTAACACAAAGCTACAGGAGTTACCGGTACTCAAAAAATGCAATTAATAATGCCACGTTATGTAGATTAACTACAAATTCTACACAAGAGCAAAGCATATACAAATTGCTAAAGTCTAAAGTAAAAAAAAAACAAAAACTAAAGTTATATATTTTTTTCTTTTTATTGTTGTTGTTATGTGTATTGTTTCAGTGTTTGTTTACCAGAAGCCTTGTAAAACATTCAGGAGCCTTTGATGCTCTGGAGTTTTGGGTACTCTTGGTTAAGTATTTCATTTATCTAGAGAAAAACAGCAGCATGGGTAAAATCACTTATATTGTTGATTAAGCCAAGCTTGTTACATCTGACACTGGAAATAATTTTTTTGGTATTTTGTAATCCAAAATTTCTCCCATTTAAGATTATTTACAGTACTCTAATGAGTTCTACCTGTACTTGTACGTCCACTTATATGACAACCAGGTTGTCTATAAATGTTACGGTGTCTCAAGCTATTTCATCTATTACAAATGACATCTGGACTTATAACCAATAGATAGCACAGTGATAGTTAGGAATAAAACACTATAAGAACCTAACCTCATTATGAACTGCATCTTCAGGAAATGAAACCATTCTCATGCCAAGCCCTGCCTGGCAAAGCCTTAGCTGCTCTTCTCCTTTTGGAGTCACGGTTGCAGGAGACTGAAGGACATAAATCTGAAAACACTGCCATTTGCGAGTGACTGTGCATGGCGCTTTTGAGAACCTCCGTTTGCCCCTGAAAATACCTGGAAAAGATCTATGATACACAATAAAGGATAGTTACAACTACTGTGTGTCATAATCATGTATGTTTGTTATTTAGTTCAACTCATTGATAAAACTCTGCAAAGCTGCTCCGATGCAACACACCGCACTAACATTGTAAGTTTAGCCTGGCATATTTACAGCACATTAAATAAAATATTAAACTACCTTTGCATTTCTGATGAAACAGAGTTTTGCAGACTGGTGGCTGTTCTGGTCGGGGGACTGAAGAAACCAGGTGTGCTGGGTGGAAGATTGAGGGCAGTGGCTGCTCTTGGCAAGAGGTTAGCAGGAGCTCCTGTCTGACTACTGCCTGCATCAAGACTTTGCTGGATGAGTGTGATCAGGTTTCTGGCCATAGACTCCACATTCTTCTCTGAGCCGGCACCCTGATCCTACGGAACATCAAACACAATAGCCTATATTTAACATATATAACACATTTAAAGCCCAAAGACAGTTACACATAGCTACTGATAGTTTAAAACTCAGTGGGTAAGTTAAGGTAAACAGTCTTAAGGAAATGGGCACTAGATGTGCGGCTGACCAGCGGTGTTGTAGAGGGCCGCACTGGGTTAACGCGGTGATTTCATGATCTGTCAGACGCGCGCTTCAAAACACTCCAAGCCGCTTCTTGTAATTGCAATCATCATTTATTCCATTTGGCCGTCATAATCCAGACTTTACATAGACTGACACATACTGACCGGGCTAAACCATTCTATGATGCCAAAAATAGAGCGACAATATAGCACGGTCAACAGAAATTACGACCACCACCGGCGCACCCGCTTCTTCATTCATAAATTCGGCGCGCCAGAATGACTCCCATTCATACCTTTGTGACACTTACGCCCACCTTAGACACACCCACCACCCAGGTGTCAAGCCGTGTGCTGCTGTCACATTAGTAATTTCTTATTTTGATCAAATGGCTCTTACAGGCACTTTCACACAGTAACGCTAATTCAGAGTCTGAGTTGGTACCGCATGGAGAAGTTTTAACAAAACGGGTAACCACCCGATGCTGTTGTCAAAAGTTCACTGTATTTCGTTGTTGTTATGTTGCCCCACATTTATGACAAACACTGCAGGCTTCGACTTTACTTAACCTAAATAATAAACAAAATGTTTTACCTTCATGTTACCGTTCAATTGTATTACGTTGTGGCTTTCAGCGGCGCACTGTGATCAAGCGCTGCTAAAAATGTGAGACAGCAAGCTCAATTCGTGGCAGTGGCTGCGTTGCAGCAGTTCCGGTGGCAGTTCCGGTGGTAGTTCCGGTGGCAGTTCCGATGGCTCGTCGGCTCGTCGTGGCTCGTTGCAGCAGTTCCGGTGGCTCGCTGGCAAATGGCACGGCGTATTACTGGCCGGAGCCCCTGAATTATTTTGTCATGTAGTTTTTTAATTACTTTTCTTTGGTATTTAATTATTTTTTGGGTATTTTTCTTGCCGTTTTTCGGCAAATGCCTTATTTATAGTACTTCTAACTAGATTGTTTTATATATATATATATATATTAGGGATGGGACGATTTATGAAAACCGTCAGAATCGTTCGGTTCGACTGTCTCGGTTCGGTTCGCGTGTGTTTCGTTCGGTTCTTGCGCTGCTCCTTTTACTCATAGAGGAAGCGATTACACTCCAGAGCAGAAGGTGGCGGTACTGCGACCAAAGCCAACCGCCAGTAGTAAACAAGAAGAAGAAGCGAAGCAGCTTAGCCGGGTGTAGCAGGGAAAAAATCAGTTGTTGTGGAGAATTGTGTCGGACTGGCGAGTTGGAAAGAACAGGAGTTGGAAGACGCGCCAGCAGCACTTTATAGGTCTCGTGTATGGGAGCGCTTTGCATTTAGAGTGACCTACGATGACGGCGGAAAGAAAGTTGTGGATAAAAGTGCAACAGTGTGCAAGCATTGTGCAACACGTTTTGTTTATGCTAACAGCAACATGTCATGCTAACCCCGAAATCCCACATACTCCGTCAGCGCTCCGCCCCGCTGCGCTCCAGACTGGCTGCTCAAAGCAAAGCCTACAGCCCCCGCTGTGGCTTCGTCCGCTCCCCTCTGAGTTCCTTGGAGATGGTAGAGAGCATGTAACCTGACAACAGCCAGATGCATGTGGCGGAGCGAGACATGCATCTGGCTGTTGTCAGGTTAGAGAGCACGTGCCAGATGATTAAATTCAAAGCAGAAAAACATACGGAAATGATCCAGGGTTTCCGCGGATCATTTAAAATAATTACAATCCATTATTTTTGGGGGGATTTTTTCATTAATTTCATAATTTTTTTATGGAATTTCGGTGTAACAATCAAAATGTATCGAATCGAATCGAACCGAAAACCATGACCAGAAACCGTGAATCGAACCGAACCGTGGATTTTGTGAATCGTTCCACCCCTTTTATATATATATATATATATATATATATATATATATATATATAATGTCACATTTACTTGATGGAACGGAGTAGTTTATCTGCCAATAAGTGGCCTCGGCTGGCAGCAGCCAGCATCAGCCTCTCCGATGGCAAGCTCTGCCGGCAGCAGCCACCACCAGCCTCTCCGATGGCAAGCTCTGCTGGCAGCGGGCACCACCAGCCTCTCCGATGGCAAGCTCTGCCCGCAGCCGCCACCACCAGCCTCTCCGATGGCAAGCTCTGCTGGCAGCGGGCACCACCAGCCTCTCCGATGGCAAGCTCTGCCCGCAGCAGCCACCACCAGCCTCTCCGATGGCAAGCTCTGCCCGCAGCAGCCACCACCAGCCTCTCCGATGGCAAGCTCTGCCGGCAGCGGGCACCACCGGCCACTCCGATGGCAAGCTCTGCTGGCAGCAGCCACCACCGGCCACTCCGATGGCAAGCTCTGCCGGCAGCGGGCACCACCGGCCACTTCGATGGCAGCATCTGCCGGCAGCGGGCACCACCGGCCACTTCGATGGCAGCATCTGCCGGCAGCGGGCACCACCGGCCACTTCGATGGCAGCATCTGCCGGCAGCGGGCACCACCGTTGGCAGCATATTGGCAGCAGCCACTACACAGCCACCATGATGACAGTCCGGCTGTCCTGCCAGTAGGCTTCCCGAGCGACTCCCAGGTTTACTGACACCGTTTTGGTGGCTGCAGCAGCCAGTTTTGTTAAATAACCATGGGAACCTCTAGGGAAACTCCACAGAGAAGTCGTCAGGTTTCAACCATGTAGGAATCTAGGGTTGGCTCACCAGGGCAGATTAGCTGGTTAGGCTTATCAAGAGCTTCAGGCTTGAGACTGGTTTTCTGAGATGCAGCTCCTCCAGAGCTGCAGACCAGAGACTGGGTTTCAGTGAGGGTGCTCTTCCTGGGCTTCACGAGGAGACAGGAGGTTAAGCTCATCCAGAGCTTCACGAGGAGACAGGAGGTTAAGCTCATCCAGAGCTTCACGAGGAGACAGGAGGTTAAGCTTATCCAGAGCTTCACGAGGAGACAGGATTCCTGTGAGGCACAGATAAAGAGATATTAGAATCTGGTCTCAACCTGGGAACAACCAAGACTCAGTCAAATAGCAGAAGGTTCAGGAAGCTAACCAACTAAGATCAACACTGCGGCGTGGGATCAAGGTCTGGCAGGAGCTTATAAAGGAGAGGTCTTCTAATGAGAGGATTAGGAACAGGTGTGCAGGAAAGTTCCAGCTCCAGAAGACCCACAGCGCATCCTGCTGGAGACAGAGGGTAATCTCCAGATCCCCACAGTAACTCCAAACCTAAGAGAAAAACAAAGAGAGTAGAAGAGGATCCTCGGCGCCCTCTGGTGGGCAAGCCTGAGGATCCCAACAAAGTGTTTGTATAGCTGACTTAAATATAATTTTTAAAAATGTTTTAATTTGAAAATAATTCATGGAATAATGTCTAATAAATTATGCAGGGGTGCCATAATTTAAGATATTAAAACAGCTATGCTTAAATTAATATTTGATTAATAAAAGTATAGAATATAATAGTGATCCACATAAAAAACATATTGTAAATTGTAAGATGCTTCTATAGGAAAAAAAAAAATTCAAAACTGAGTTAAAGATATTTTATATCTAGAGGTATTTTTTTTAATATTTCTGGAAATATCACGAGTTTTCAACCTCCTCCCCTCTGGAAGATTCTTTTCGCGCCTTTGGACGGAGTGAATGTTAAGAGAGCTGGTATTTTTCCTGGACAAAGTGGAATAAAAGAACAAGTTTTCTGCTGTAAAGGTAAGGTTTTTTTTATTTTTCTTGAATCTATGTATATCAGAAATTATTGAAACGTTCTAAGGTTGTAAAGAAAGGTATTTTGTTTATTTTTTTTAACCTATTAAAAAAGGGAGGGTTCGTAGTCAGAACATGCACGAATTTGTTAGGTCCAGGCTTATCCATTAATGCTTTTTCATGTCTGAGCATTAAAGTCTGTGCTGGTTACCTCCTAGAAAATTGTGATTTTCCCCTTGAAAAATATAATCATGGAGTCTCTTTTTATTTGGCATCTTCTTCAATCTGTTCCTTATTTTCATCCATAAATGTCTATCCGTTGCACTCAAACACATCACCATTAAGCCTAGCAACAATAAAAAAAAATCCATCCATCGTTTCCGTTTATGGATGGTACGACGGAGTATTAGGGCCACACATGAAGAGAAAAAATATTTTTGCCATGACGAGATTAAACTCGACATGTGGACTTTAAAGTCGACATGTCGACATTAAACTCAACATTTCGAGAATAAAGTTGAAATGTCATGTTGAGTTTAATCTCGACGTGTCGACAATAAAGTTGAAATTAGTTCAAGAGAGCCAACCGCTGCACAGGTTACATGCACAGAATCCAGAATCAGACATGCCTTGTGTAGATGATTTGGTCAAATTGTACTTTCTGTGATGATTATACAGTTATACAATTGCAGCATGTCAAAGACTACCTTCACTCTTAAAACGCAGACTGCAGCTGTGGAGCGCGGTTGCTCTTTTCTCCAAACTTTGGAATGTCGAGATTAAAGTCGCCACGATATATCAACTTTATTCTCGAAATGGCGAGTTTAAAGTCGACAGGGCGAGTTTAAAGTCGACACGTCGAGATTAAACTCAACAAGACATTTCAACTTTATTCTCGAAATGGCGAGTTTAAAGTCAAAGTCGACATGTCGAGTTTAATCTCGTCATGGCAAAAATATTTTTTCTCTTCATGTGTGGCCCTAATACTCCGTCGTAGGATGGGGTCGAGTCGCGCAGGTGGCAGGGATTATTAAATCTAGCAAAATGGTGGGAGCTGATCGGGCTAGTTTATGCGCTGCTGTGAATGTTGCCTACGAACAAAGTATGGCGCACCTGCTGGATCAGATACACTACAACAGCGTTAGTAGTGAAGAGGTAAATTCACTGAACGGCTAGATGGGTATGAGTACTAAGGAAATGATAGATCAGAGTGTTTTTCAGTGGCGCATTGTGGGCTGTTTAATGGTCTTAGACAAATGTTAAATGTAAGAACAGACATACCTATTAAGCCGTCTGTCCAAAAATCTCTAGAGATGGATTTAGTAGGATTATTTTAAATCTGTTGAATGATTGATTTGGTATTCAGTAGTATTAGTCAACATAGATATAAATGATGCAAGAGATAAACAGTAAATAAACAAAATGCATTCCCATAAAACATATATATATATTTTTAAATAAATACATTTAACAGATTAAAATTGTTTCTTAGATCTGTCTATGTATTCCAGTTTGAAATGTTGATATTTTTGAGGAATACAGTGTTCTAAGTTAATTTAAAAAAATTAAGGACTAAGGAGGTGGCTGTACCATAGAAAATGCATATCAGGCTGTATAATTTATCCAGTAGAGCAGAATGTAGTCCAGACTGTTTAATATTTAATGTGCATTTTATCACCTTTGCTTATAATTTTATACCCATATGTTAGAAATGAATAAGTTGTTATAAAGAACCGAAGGGGACTAAGAATTTTCTGTATTGTTGTTTTCAATAGCAATGTGGACTTTTCCTGGAAAGCAGTGGTAATTTGCTTATGAGATGGTGTTTTTGAAAGTTCCAAGCCTGTTTGTCTTAAAGACAGGATGCAGGGGTTTAGAACAGCTAATGAAATGACAAAGAAAATCTTTAGAAAAAAAAAAAAGAAAAGACACCCCGAGCTGGAGGAAGAAAAATTAATTGATGCACTGGACAGCTTTTTTTTATTTCATTTTATAAATGATCTGTGCCCAAGTTGGCATCTGAGTGTTTTTTTATAAAGCTAAAG